AGAAGAAGAAGAAGAAGAAGAAGAAGAAGAAGAAGAAGAAGAAGAAGAAGAAGGGGAAGGGGAAGGGAAGGGAAGGAGGAGGAGAAGGAGGAGGAGCAGAAGAAGAAAAAGAGGAAGAAGAAGAAGAAGAAGAAGAAGAAGAAGAAGAAGAAGAAGAAGAAGAAGAAGAAGGGGAAGGGGAAGGGAAGGGAAGGAGGACGAGAAGGACGAGGAGCAGAAGAAGAAAAAGAGGAAGAAGAAGAAGAAGAAGAAGAAGAAGAAGAAGAAGAAGAAGAAGAAGAAGAAGAAAGACGGGTGGGCGTTTTGGGAGTGATGATAAGTGAGAGGATCGGGACATTCTCAGAACATACGATATGCAAGGTTCTTTGGGCCTTGTCAAGCTCCAGCATGTGAGGGGGAGTATTGGTTTGGCACGACACTTTTGGCATTATAGGTGAAGGTTGAACTTGGCACCATAAAATCCTAACAACACATTTTGCACTACCCCCCATGGGTAACGAACGACGGGATGATCAAGCCTGCTGAGAGTTTTTTCCGTACCCACACCGCACTCTCCCTGCCCTCCTCCGTCGCAGAGAGGTGATGGCTAGTCATGCCACCAGTCTAACATGCGAGAGGAGATCAACTTCAGAGCAGACCGACTTTCGCCTATAACACAGAAGGCGTCGTGCCAAAGCAACATTCCCCCTCACATGCAAGAGCTAGGCCGAACCCAAAAAACCTTGCACATCGCATGTTCTAAGAATGTACCAGAGCCTTTCACTGATCATCACTCCCAGAACAACCACCCCGAAAGTCTTTCTCTTTTACAAAAAGACATGGAATAATCCAATAATCACACAAACATATTGAACCATCAACATACACCCCTTAGTCCTTACCTGGGCGCTATAGCTGTGCTCCACTCTGGTACCTGGGCGCCATAGCCGTGCTCCACGCTGTCGACCTGCACAACAACAACAACAACAACGGCAACAACCAGAACCACAACCACAACCAGAAGAAGGGGAAGGGGAAGGGGAAGGGGAAGGGGAAGAAGAAGGAGGAGGAGGAGGAGGAGGAGAGGGAGGAGAAGGAACAACAACAACAACAACACATACCTCCGTCATCGGTACTTAACTGGGCGCCATAGCCGTGCTCCGCACTGGCGACCTGCACAACAACAGCAACAACAACACAAACCTGCGTCAGTGGTACTTAACTGGGCGCCATAGCCTTGCTCCACACTCGCGACCTGCAAAACAACAACGACAACAACAACAACAACAACCACAAGAAGAAGAAGAAGAAGAAGGAGTAGAAGAAGAAGTAGAAGAAGAGGGGCGGAGGCCATACCTGCGTCAGCGGTACTTACCTGGGCGCCAAATCCGTGCTCCACTCTGGTACCTGGGCGCCATAGCCGTGGTCCACGCTCTTGACCTGCACAACAACAACAACAACAACAACAACAACAACAACAACAACAGCAACAACCGCAACAATAACAACAACAACAAGGAGGAGGAGAAGAAGAAGAAGAAGAAGAAGAAGAAGAAGAAGAAGAAGAAGAAGAAGAAGAAGAAGAAGAAGAGAAGAATAAGAAGGAGGAGGAGGAGGAGGAGGAGGAGAAGGAGGAGGAGAAGAAGAAAAAGAAGAAGAAGAAGAAAAAGAAGAAGGGGAAGGGGAAGGAGGAGGAGGAGGAGAAGGAGGAGGAGGAGGAGGAGGAGAAGAAGAATAATAAGAAGAAGAAGAAGAAGGGGAAGAAGAAGGGAAGGGAAGGGGAGGGGAGGGGAAGGGGGAGGAGGAGGAGGAGGAGGAGAAGGAGGAGGAGCAGAAGAAGAAGGGGAAGAAGAAGGGGAAGAAGAAGAAGAAGAAGAAGAAGAAGAAGAAGAAGAAGAAGAAGAAAGAGGGGTGGGCGTTCTGGGAGTGATGATAAGTGAAAGGGTCGGGTACATTCTCAGAACATACGATATGCAAGGTTCTTTAGGCCTGGTCTAGCTCCAGCATGTGAGGGGGAGTATTGGTTCGGCACGACACCTTTGGCATTATAGGTGAAGGTTGAACTTGGCACCATAAAACCCTAACAACACATTTTGCACTACCCCCCATGGGTAACGAACGACGGGATGATCAAGCCTGCTGAGAGTTTTTTCCGTATCCACACTACACTCTCCCTACCCTCCTCCGTCGCCGAGAGGTGATGGCGTCAAGCCACCAGTCTAACATGTGAGAGGAGATCACCTTCGGAGCAGACCAACTTTCGCCTACAACACAGAAGGCGTCATGCCAAAGCAACATTCCCCCTCACATGTCTGAGTTAGGCCGAACCCAAAAAACCTTGCACATCGCATGTTCTAAGAATGTACCCGAGCCTCTCACTGATCATCATTCCCAGAACACTCACCCCGAAATTCTTTCTCTTTTACAAAAAGACAAGGAATAATCCAATAACCACACAAACATATTGAACCATCAACATACACCCCTTGGTCCTTACCTGGGCGCCATAGTCGTGCCACAC